TAGCAGAGGATCGATGTAAGTAGGATGCTTATGCTTGTATCATTGAATGGTTTATGTTGGAAGGGACCCTTAAAGGTCTAGTCCAACCCACCCTTGCAATGAGCAGGGACATCTTCAACTAAGATCAGGTTGCTCAGAGCTCTGTCCAACCTGACCTTGAATGTTTCCAGGGAAGGGGCATCTACTACCTCTCTGGGCAACCTGTGCCAGAGTTTCACCATTCTCATTGTAAAGAATTTCTTCCTTACATCTAATCTGATGTAACCCTCCTTTAGATTAAAGCCGTTACCCCTTGTCCTGTCGCTACAGACCCTGCTAAAAAGTTTGTCCCCATCTTTCCCGCAGCCCCTTTATGTAGTCTCCCTGGAGCCTTCTCTTCTCCCGGCACTCTTCTCTTTTCCCCCCAACTCCAGAGGGGCTCCAGCCCTCCCAGCATCTCCATGGCCTCCTCTGGCCCCGCTCCAACAGGTCCCTGTCCTTCTGATGTTGGTGGCCCCAGAACGGGAGGCAGCACTGGGGGGTGTCTCCCCAGAGCGGAGCAGAGGGGCAGAATCCGCCCCCCCTCACCCTGCTGGCCTCACTGCTGGGGACACAGCCCAGGATGGGGGGGTTTCTGGGCTGCCAGCACACGTTGCCAGCTCATGTCCAGCTTTTGGCCCCCCAGCACCCCCAAGTCGTCCTCCACAGAGCTGCTCTCCATCCCTTCATCTCCCAGCCGGGATTGATACTGTGGGTTGACCCGACCCAGGTTGACCCGATCTTGGCCATGTTGAACCTTGTTGAACCTTGTTGGCCTCGGTTCGCTCCTCCAGCTTGCCCAGCTCCCTCTGGATGGCACCCCGTCCCTCAGACGTGTCACTCCACCACTCGGCTTGGTGTCATCTGCAGAGCTGCTGCCCTCCATCCCGCTGTCCGTGTCACGGATGACGACACAGAGCAGTGCCGATGCCAGCACGGACCCTGAGGAGCAGCACCACGTCTCACCCCCTCTCCGTGGGGCCACGGGCCCGCCCACCCCTCGCCCACCCCTCGCCCACCCCTCGCCTGTGCCACCGTCCATCTCCTTCTCACCGCCAGGGGGCGCCGCGCCCCTCGGGCCGCCCCCATCCGTCATCAGCACTCTCCGGCGGCGCTCGGCCCTCTCCGGCAGCGCTCGGCACTCTCCGTCCGTCCCCGTCCCGGCTTTCGGGCTCTCCGTCGTTCCTCGGCGCCGCCCCTGACAGCGGCGCGGCGCTCGGGCGGCCCCGGCGCAGGGCGCATGCGCGGGCGGCCCCGGCGCTCCTTGTTGTGGCCCGGCCGCCCCTGGCTGCCGGTCGGCCCGGGATGGCGGCTTTCGGCGTCCTCAGCTACGAGCACCGCCCGCTC